TCGACATCTTTGTGGGCTCCCATGTTCTTCTGAGCTCTCTCACAGATGCTGCTTTTCCTGAGGTGACTTTTTAGATTGTAGGGCGACCAGGCACTTGCTTAGATGCCTGTTCTCTCTAACCTGGGACATAATTTTCTAGATACGTTATGTTCTAATCAAATAGTTTAAAAATAATAAATAAATGAATATTATTTATTTAAATTACTTATTTTTAGCAATAACTCCTCATTGCCTCCTCCCCTGAGCCCCCAGGGACCACTAATCTACTTTAGTCTCTATGCATTTGCCTATTCTAGATATTTCATATAAGTGGAATCATACAATATTTGTCCTTTTGTGTCTGACTTATTTCACTTAGTCGTCAAATAGTTTTCAGGCTCCCTGTGGGTTATTTAACTCTCTTCTCTACAAATTTCGGTTGTGTTTTTCTGAGTACCCACAATTTGACATAGCTCGTGTTCTTTTAACACAGGGAGTCAGTTGAATGAGTTTTTACATATGTAACCATCCATGTAACCACTACGTAGATCAAGACAGAGAACACTTCCTGTGTCCCAAGCTCATGTTCCTCCCCAGTCAATACCAACCCTCACTGACCTGACTTCCATCACCTTCAGTTTTGCCTGCTCTTGAACATCATCAGCTGAATGCTTTCCTACAATCTTATTTCAAAGTTATTATGACACTTTTGAATATTTTAGTGGCCAAATCTTGATCTAACCAGGACTCTCTGGATCCTGCATCCGACTCGTCATCCTCTGACCTCTGGTTCTTGGGATGTGAGCCAGCAGCCTGATGTCTGACCCATGGATTTGGGACTTGCCAGCCTCCACAACTACGTGAGCCATTTCCTTGAAATCTCTCTCTCTATACATATAAACACTTCACTGGTTTTGCTCCTCTAGAGAACCCAGCCTAAGACACCTAGTTACTTAAGTTCTGTGACTCAGTTTCCCCATCTGTAAAATGGGGCTACTAATCACAACCTACCTCATAGGATTGTTGCAAGGATTAAATGAATTAACACAGATAAACATTTAGAATAGTACCTGGCATATTAAAAGTGCTAAGAAGTAGCTGTTATTCAGTTGAACCTTATGAAATTGCCAGTATTCAACCATTTTGACCTACAAAAACAATTATTTCATATGATTCAATCTAACATTATCATCATCATTATTATTGTCATACCAGCTCAGACTAAGGGACAGAACTGCTGAGGGCCCCTCTATCATGAAAGAGCTTTGGCCCAGTTCTGTGGAAAGCTCTCATTTCAAGCCATCCACGGGCCTCAGAAGGAGCCAGCCATTCTGCCACAGACATGCCTGAGGTCCTTTGCTAAGGTCTCAGGAAGACAACCTCATAACGTGATCCTTCATGTCAGTTCTTGGTCCCCTCTCCCAGGCAGTGACCACAGACAGCTGCTTGGCCAGGGAGAAGCAGGTGCCCTTCATTCTGGGGGCTTTCGCTACAGCTAGAGTACCGCCCTTTGCCCCTGTGTACTCTGATGCCTCCTTTCAGCCCAGCTTATTCACCCAACTCAGGAGTTTTACCTAGGGTTAGCCTAGCATGGTTTATTCAGATAGGTTAAAATATACTTAATTAGAGACTTGGGTTCCTAAAGCTCTGACTTCACTTTTACTGCTTCCCAGACTGGGGAGTACACTGCAGGTAGTAATAATAATAATCATAATAAGTTCACTGTTTTGAGAGCTATGTGCTAATAAGTATACTCTTCTAGCTGCTCACATGTATTAATTTGTTTAATCCTCATAATAGCCTTAGAAGGTAGGCACTGTTATCCCCATTTGACTGATAAGAAAACTGAGACACAGACGGCCAACTGACTTGCTCAAGGTCACAAGACTAGAGTGGCAGAACTGGGATTGGACCCCAGGCAATGCAGCTCCAGAGACTGTGGCTTAACCACTCTACTATTCTGCATAATGCCCAACTTTAGTAGGAGGGTGGCTAATATCCCCTCAACTGGCTCCCCTTACACCTGGCTCTTCTTCCCTACTCTTTAAGGGTGACAAATGGCTGGTCTGATGAAACTGCCACAACACCCACTTTTCTTTCTGCAGCTACTTCACTAAGTTTTTCTTCGAGCTACTTACTGTAGCTTTTAGCCTTTCCCCCGCTGCACCTATCTGGTTTTCCAGGATCCCTGTATTCATTTACAGAGCTGCCTTTGCAGGGATTCAGTTGCAAACAGCCCTTTAGCTGTTAGGATGAACGTGCCTTCCTTCGCTGCAGAAATCATGTCCAATATCTCACTATTTGACACGATGCTCTTGGGGCCTTGTCCATTACCCCTGGACTGAGCTTCTGTCTCCTCAAGGACCCTGTCTATCCCAACACAGCCAGGCACAGTGTTTCTTTTATTGTTCACAGAATTATAGGAGCAACTTTGCAGGTATTTGGTCTAATTGCCCATTCTATTTTGTTTAAAGAAAAGAAGTGAGACTCTTCCATGAGTAGGATTAACTGAGGTGTAAACACAGCAGCAGAACCCTGGTGGCGTAGTGATTAAGAGCTTGGCTGCTAACCAAAAGGTCGGCAGTTCAAACCCATCAGCTGCTCCCTGGAACCCCTATGAGGCAGTTCTGTTTTGTCCTGTAGGGTCGCTATGAGTCAGAATCGACTCGATAGCAACGGGTTTTAAACACAGCAGCAGACAACAATCCCAATGTTCTTCTCTAGGTTATTGCAGAAAGACCTCAAATCCATCAGCTAATCTAATGTGCTAACCAGTAACGAAGAAGACCTCTCAGTCTAACACAGTAAAATCAGAGTGTCCTCTAATCTGTCAGTACTGTGAATTGCTAAGAGCCATTCCAGGAATCACCTCCACCTTCCTGAGCTAATCTGGGAAGACATTTTATCACATATGACGAGGCTCTCTGGACCTGGCTCATGGTAACTAAATTAGGCTTCATGCTCTCAAGATCCTGCTCCACCTCAACCACATTATCAAAATTGATAGCTCTGCCCGGCACATGGCCATCCCAGTCCCTGGTCCTTATTTATCCTGGGATGTCACATACGCTGCTTGCTGCCAGAAGCCATGGCTCTCAATCAGCGGCCCGCAGCCTCGCACGATAACTAGCACCTATTCGTGAAGTCAACTCATCCACGCTTTCCTTTTTCTTCCAAAGCCCTTACATGGGCAAGCTGGAGCCTGTCTTTCCATCTTTCTACTGAATAGGCCTCTATTCTATAACCACCTAACACCAATTACAGAGCAGGACTGCTCGTAAATCACATGGAGATGCTGCCACTCTTGAGAACACCTACGTTATTAGTTGGAACTTAGAAAAACATTCAATCTTCTCTTGCTTTTTTCCCTGCTTTTTAAAAAGAAACATATGTCCCTTAAACAGCAACAACCACTACCAACCCTCAAACACTTCAGAAACGTACAAATCAGAAGAATAAAAGCTCCCTCCTCTCCCTAGAGATAATGACCACAAACAACCTTCTGGCCTTTCTCTCTGCAGATTGCAGGGTCTGGCAATCTCTCTCTTCAGTGTTCATTTCCCCTAGTTTGGGGCCTCCTGGAGTGGTGACAGGCATTCACACCTAACATATGTCCTTCTTAAGTCTCCTTCATGGGGACTCCTTGAAGCGTCCCCACTCAGGGCTTCCAGGACACAGCACCTTCACTGATCAGTCCATCTCTGCCTCCTCGGTTCCGTCCATCTGGCCAAAGGCTTCTAGATTGATATGTCCAGCCCAGACATCTCTCTTTTGAACTCCAGACTCAAGATTTGTCTACTCTATACCTCCATTTGGATGCCTAATGGTATTTCAAACTCAACTTGCCCCAAACTGGATCCTGATCTTCCCTGTGAACCTGATCCTCCTACAGCCTTCTCTATAAACTGTAGAGTCATCCTGACTCATCCCTTTCCATCATTCTTTACACTCAATTTGTCAGGAAGCCCTGATGGCTCTACTTTTAAAATATATTCAAAATCTGACAACTTTTCACACTTCCACTGCTACCACTCTGGTCTAAGCCTCTCCTCTCTCACCTGGAGGACTACAGTAGCCTCCTAGGTGGTCTCCTTGCTTCCACCCTTAACCACAACACACATCTACAGAGAAGCCAGAGTGATCCTTTTAAAATATAAGTCAGATCACATCACTCCTCTGCTCAAGACCCTCTCATGTCTCCCCTTTCATTTGGTGTAAAAGCCAAAGTTCTTACAGTGGCTACAGAGTTGGTGGTCGTCTGAGGCCCTTGTGACTTCTGATCTCACCTCTTCCTACTCTTCCCTTGGATTGCTCTGCTCCAGACCACATTGGCCTCCATTATGGTTCCTTGCACAGCCAAGGCACACGGCTGCCTTAAGGTCTTGGCATTGGCTGTCCCTCTGCCCAGACACTCTTCCCCCTGACGACTACCTAGCTGGGTCCCTCACCTTCTTCAAGCTTTTCTTCAAGATCACCTTCTCCGTGAGCCTACCCTGACTACCTCATTTGAAATTGCAACCTGTTCCTTCCCTACCACCGAATAAGCCCTTTACCCTTTCCTACTTTTTCATTTTGTACACCTCTTATCACGTTCTAACATTCTTTTTAATTTACTTACCTATAATGCTTTTGTGTATTGTGTATCTCCTGCCAACTAGAATGTAGGCTCTATGAGAACACAGATATCTTTCTGCTTCATTTCCTGACATATCCTATGACTTCAACAGTGCCTAGCATGTGGCAGGCAGTCCATGAATACTTGTTAATGAATGAACAAAAGTTCTAGTCCTGCCCAGCTGCCCTGCAGTCTTTCTGGCACCAAGGCCCTTTTCATACTGCTACAACTCTGGGCCCAATGGCTTCTTGCCAGCTGGGAGGGACAACCTCTTCAGAGCACCCTTTCTCCTTTCCTATTCCCAGCCAGGTACCTGCTCTGGGCCCTTCTGTGTACAGCCCCACTAATGGGCTCATTCCCACTTTGACGCTCATTCTCAGCCCAGGCTGAGCTCCTAGCCACTCACCTGAAAGTCCTCCTCATCCAAGATCTCTTTCCTCCACTTGATCAAGAAGGCTGCACACACATAGAGATGGAAGTGGGAGAACCCTTCTGGTTCAGACTGGGAAGGAAAAAAAAAAAAACAACAGTTGCTTCTCCAAGCCCTGACAAGGAGCTGGCTCTGGTCCTCTCATTCCAATCCTCCTAGAAGGTTGGAAAGCAGCACAACACCCCTTTCATGGCTGGGCAAACGGGCCAGAAAAGCCTTCAGCAGAGGCCCTTCCCATGATGCTAAGGGAGGCAGAGAAGAAAGAAGGAAGTGGGGTGGGGGGACTTCTTACAGCTATACCCCACACCAGGGCAGGGCGCCGGGCACCTCAAGGTCAGCATGGTGCAGAGAGAGTGGGGGATCTCTTTGTACCTGGTACGTGTCCCACAGGCGGATGGTGCAGCGAAGGGGAAGCTCCCGCATAAGCAGATTGTTCATCCAACGAAAGGCAAACTGTAGGTATTCCACCTCGTACCTCCTGAAGTGATTATGTACCTGCTCTGAAACAGGAAGTGCCATTGGTCCCAGGATACAAGCTAGGGAATCAGACCCTGAAAAATTTACCAGACCCTGAAAGATTCACAGGAGCTAAATATTGGCAGTTTCTGCTTCTTATCAGCCCCTCCCCCTGGGGAAGCCGACACAGAGGGGCAAACAGGTATCTGACAGTCCTTTTTGTTTGAGTCCAACATCTCACAGCAACACTGTACGGTAAACATACACACAGCCTTTAGCTCAGTTCAGCAAATACTAGAACCATTTCAACATCCCATAGGGATGTTCTAGGTGCCTCTCTTCCTTCGCAGGACTATTTTGGCCATTAAGCAGGGACATAAGGCTCATCTGGCTGCTTGACCTTATTACTCATCAGAGAAAGAACCAGAATAGAAAAACACCTTGGAGGGCACCTTGGCCATCTGCCCACTGGTGAGGAATTCCTCTGCAGCTTCCCTGACAGATGGTCAGCCAGCAGGTACTTAAACATTGCCAGTGGAAGAGGCTCACTAACCCCACGCAAGGACAGCCCCCTCTGCTGATGCACTCCGTGATTCACCAGAAAGGGCTTCTCCCTAAGAAGCAGAAACTATCCTCCTCAGCTTCCTAATCTATAAAATGAGGACAACCATTCATCCCGCAGGGGCCTGGGGAGAATAAAAAGAAAATACAAGTAACGTGGTTATAACAACACCTGGCACATGGTAAACACTTAATAAAATTTTTGGAAGAAGAACTATAAACAGTGGTTATTTCTGGGGAGTAGGATTTGAGGAAGAGGGAGGATTTTTACTTGGTGATTTTTGTGTCTTTTCTGAATTGCTTAAACTTTTGTAATGAGTGTTATACTTCTGTAATTCAAAAAAAACAATAAAGACACATACATTTAAAAATCCACAATCCTAAAGTACTAAGCCTTTATTTATCAGGCCTTTGTAAAGGCATAAAAAACAACGATAAGGCAGAAAGTGGCAGAAACCACAGCCTCTGCTCTCTGGAACCCAACTGATGGTTGGTCTCTGTGAGCAGCTTAGAAGCCCTGCCAAAGGTAGCACGTCCTGTACCAGGCTTGAGTGAGGGACTCAAGAGACCTGGATGTAGGCCCCATGGGGCGGGTGTGGGAACAATCGGTGGGGGCGGTGACAGCTGGGTCAGGGTGATAAGACACAGAGGAGAAAACATCACATGTACAACATATACAAAGCAACTGTGAGTAAGCAAATAAGCTGGGGAAATTGAAATCCTTAGTCATAAAAGGAAGCTGGAGTAAGTGGGACAAATCAGGAAAGGTTTTCATGAAAAGAGAACCTGGGAAAGGACAGAGAAAAACATGCAACTTCTGTACGGGAAAACGAAAAGCATGAGTGGATGGAACAGAAGATCCATGACTGGGAAAACCAGGAACCAAAGTTGATTAGTTGATGTGGTAACTGGTAGAGTCATAAAGAAGCTGCTACAAGTGAACTGGTGCTAGAGATATCACTTAACAGAAAAGCTCGCTATTAGGTTCTATGTGTTCTTCAGGAACCTTAACTCTGACTTCTCTCCTTGGACCTCAGGTTTTTCATCAGTCAACAGTAAGGCTTCCCCAGTTCTCTTTTAGTTCTAACATTCCATGATTCCAGGCTAGAGCCAAGGAATTACTGCAATGGCTCCTGTTCCTTAAAGACATTCTGCTTCAGGAAGAGCCACATCTCAATCCCCCCATCCCAAACAGGTCATAGGGAGCTGTGAAAAGTCCTGCTGGAGAATCAGCTAGACTTTAGGGCCCTGTCTAGGTGAAGCCCAGGAGTCCTGAGTTACATCACCACATGAAGAATGAGGTCAGACTACAGACTTGATGGTAAAAGCAACCAAGACACAGAAGGTTTCAGAACAGAGAGGGACATGACTAGACAGGCTTTAGAAAGATGAGCCCAGCAGTTGTGTGATAGAGGGTTTGGAAGAGCAAAGAGTATGGGGGAGATGAGTTCAAGGAGGAAGTCACAGAAATCTAGGAATGGCTGGACCAGAGCTGTGGCTAGGAAAATAGAGAAGTTGGGTGAATTTGAGGAGAGGTACTGAAGGAGAACTGATAGAACTTGGAGATAAAAAACTAAAGGGAAAGAAGAATTCGAGATAACAGCAGAGTTCTCATCTCACCTTCCTGTTGAGATGTGCAAGGGTGATGGTACTGCCAACAGCAGTAAGTAAACTGGAAAGGGTCATGAGTAAGAGGGAGGCTTAGAAGAGGACCCACTAGTATTAACTGGTTCATGTCGGAATCGTACTGTGCTATTGCTAGAAAATCCTTCTTCCTCTTCCTCTGAACCTACCATCAATTCGACTGACAAGCTCTTCCAGAGCCTTGACCTTCTTCTGGATCCCCGGTTGTGCGAAGGTGTAGTTATCCTGCAGATGAGGACAGAGCCAGGGTTAGCAGGGGCTCCAGACAGTTGTGCTTCCAGCCCTCAAGTTCGCTGAAACACGTATAAAAGCACAAGCTGCATTTCCAAAGCTGGTGCCAATGGCCAATGACAGTGTTCTGGGGAACAAAGTAGTAATCTACAGGAACGTTGGAGTGTGGGGGAAAGCCTAACAGTGCTCCACATTGTGGAGGTAAATCTATGTGGCTCAGAGTGCATAGCAGAAAGGAGGGATATACTGTGATGACATCAAAGCCAGGGCAATATGGAGATTTCCTTAGATGCCAGGGGACACTAGACCGTTGCCTTGTGAAAGTTGTAAAGACAGTGAAAGAGACAGAGATGGATAGACCAAAAAGGAAGAGGAGGAGCCATGTTATGTGTGTGGCCCTGTCTGATGCAGAAGAGTACTAAGGAAGCCAAAGGCCTGCAGGGAGGCCCTGGACCCAGACATCCCCACAACGGCGGAACCAGCTCACCTGGATTCCATCTAGCAGCTTGCTCATGCACCAAAAGCTGTCAGCTTCAATGCTTCGCAGCATGTCCTGAGACAAGTTGGTCACATCAAAGTTCTCCACATCCTCTTCTGTAAAACAAAAGGTGAAGAAAGTCCAGAGGTCTTATCTAAAAAATGGAGAGAGAAAGATAGAGTCTAGTGTCTTCAATGGAGTCCTTAAAGGCCAGGGGAGAACCAGGCTAACCTGATGCCAAGGAACGATGGCCTCCCCCTCTTCTCCCCTCATCGGGCGGGCAGCTGTGTCCCAGGGAATTTCGTGAGGATTTCATTACAACACTGAATAGGCCACTCTCACATCAATCTGTTGGATGCAACATCTCTTTCCCTTCCTCTGCATCTCTTCATTCAATTTTAGAAAAAGATAATTCAGGCCTCATGTTCAATGACCTATACTTAGCTCCCTGGAGATGGTCTGGAAAAATCTTTTGATTTCAGAAGTTCAGTGAGCTGTCTAGCACTGCTTGCTATATGTAGTGAGAAGAGCTGGATCAGATACCTCCTGTGGTTCATTTTAAAGAAGGAATTCCCAAATTCTGACAAGGCAGACTCACTGCCTCACCATCAGAAGTGAAGATGTGGAAACAAAGGAAGAAGACCCAAACCTGTGGATGCTTCTAGGAATTTATGCCACAAAGTTGGCAGTTCCTAAGATGGGTTCTACAGAATATCAACCCTACAGGATACTGTTATGAATTGAACTGTGTCCCCCAAAAATGTGTCAACTTGGCTAGGCTATGAGTCCCAGCATTATTTGACTGTCCACCATTTTGTCATCTGATGTGATTTTCCCATGCATTGTAAATCTGCCTCTATGATGTTAATGAGGCAGGATTAGAAGCAGTTATGTTAATGAGACAGGACTCAATCCACAAGATCAGTTTTTGTCTTAAGTCAATCTCTTTTGAAATATAAAAGACAGATGTGAGCAGAGAGACATTGGGACCTCATACCACCAAGAAAGAAGCACCCGGAGCATAATGCGTCCTTTGGACCTGGGGTCCCTTCGCTGAGACCTACTCGACCAGGGGAAGGTTGATGACAAGGACCTTCCCCCAGAGCTAAAGGAGAGAAAGCCTTCCCCTGAAGCTAGCATCCTGAATTCGGACTTCTAACCTCCTGACTGTGAGAGAATAAATTTCTCTTTGTTAAAGCCATCCAGTTGTGGTATTTCTGTTACACTAGCACTAGATAAACTAAGACAAGATACTCAAGAAAAAAGGAGGTTCCATGGACAAGAGTGGTTGAGAAATGCTGCATAATATAACCCCATCATGGAGATTCACAAAAGATCATAGGGTACAAAGTGTCTGAAAAGTTGTATAAAATTCTGCATTAAATAAATAAATCTACTTGACTCTGTTTACCCAGCACATTCCAAACTCGGTCAGCCATGGAACCTCTTTTAAAGAGGACTATCTATTAACTTCTCATGGAAACCCCAGACTAAGTGACAAGAGTGAGAAGTTCTTCCCTTGTTATTCCTTCCTGCCACAGAAAAGAGGATATACTAAGAAAGGCTCTCCTCGCCCGACAAGACAGGCTACCCCAACCCAAGGCCACTGTACACCTGTCAGAGGCCACATATGAAAACGTTCAGGCCCCTGAGTTCTGCACCAAAGGCAGCTTTTCTCCTTAGACCTACAAGCCCTATTTTGAACACAAGGTGTTCACTGCAGTCCCTTGTGCTGCAGGGAGACGGAGGCATCTCATAAAACATATTCTGAATCCAGCCCTTCCATTTATGAGAATTATTACAAAGACCTATAACCAAATCTCCTGGAGACAACCGGCAACCTGGATGGTCATCCTGTTTAAGAAGCCATTTTTTATGGACACCAAGGGTTGTAAATCTAAAAAAAAAAAAAAAAAAAAAAAACCCTTTTGGGGAGGGTAGGGTGCTTTGTCAGAAAAGTTATGACCCCGGGAACAACCTAAAAGTCCAGCTAAAAGTATAGTCTTGGTTAATATGTGTAAGGCTTTGACGACAGTAGGCATTAAGGGGAAAAAAGCAAGGTACATAATTATTTATGGTATAATCATAACTATTGTACCTACAATATTTATGTATATTTATATAAGCACACAGGCAAGATAGGTTTACATTGCTTATCGCTAGGTGGTGGGGATGAAGGATTTTTATTTTCTTTAAGCTTTACTAGGCTTTTTAAAATTTCTATAATAAGCATAATTTTTATAATCAGAAAAAATACACACTACTTTGGAAAAAAAAAAAAAGAGCCATAATTGACTATGTCTGTCTTTTACAACCAAAAAAGAATAGAAGATTTTGTAAAACAATACCAACCTTGCAGAGACTAAGAATTTATATAATCTATAAAGGTCATTTGAGAAATCACATAAAAGACCTTCTAAGAAATATCATTTCCCTTTTTCCTAACTTAAACATTTATTATATAGTGTTTTCAGGTGGCCATACATGTATTATTAATTCAGCTAATAACCCATTGCCATTGAGTTGATTCCAACTCATAGCGATCTTATAGGACACAGCAGAACCGCCCTATACGGTTTCTAAGGAGTGGCTGGTAGATTTGAACTATGACCTCTTGATTAGGAGCTGAGCTCTTAACCACTGCACCACCAAGGGCTCCAATTCAGCTAATGATACTGTGCTATAAGACCCAGCTCAGAATTTTCCTTTTTCTTTGTGCTTCATATTATATTCCTGAGACCCTTCCATGCTGCTGTCATGCCTCTAGCCCATTGCTTTACGGTGTGCCTCTACTACAGGTCACATATCCATTCCCCCAGGGATGGATACCCAGGTCACCTCCAACTCCCACTACCACAAGCAATGCCACAAGGAACTCTCCCCTTCAACACTATGCAAGAACTGCTCTGAGTCACAGGTTCATGAGGACCTACCTCGACTAGTCTCATTAGGCTGCACGCCAGGACCAACATCAGCAGCCTTCACTCAGTCCAACCAGCAGTGCAAAACAGTGTACAAGGAAGAGTGTTGTGTCTTTATCAGTAAGCATGGCAGCTCACACTAACTCATCCTAGGTAGCAGCTCCCCCTTTATGAGAATAGGGTTGTAGGAAAATAAGTGAAATGTACAAGGAAGGCTCAAGGACTCCTCTGATTACACACGATTTGCAAATGAAGATCCAGACCTCCATAATTAATTTGAAGAGTGTTTTCCAACTTGGGCATTCTGTGATTCCAGAACACTGCAGCAGGAATGCAACTGGGAATGGAAACCACGGACGGCAAAGCAAAAACGTAAAAAGAGCCAGAGCGTCCCTGAGAACAATGTGGAGCACAGCTGCCGTATCAGCCCTGGCAATCTGTGTGTGTGTGTTTTTGTCATACTGAAAGGCATGCAGTTAAGAGCACAGGCCCTGGAGCCAGACTGCACAGCTCATGTCCTAGCTCTGTCTCACTAGTTATGCGACTTTGGGCAAATGACTTTACCTTCTGTGCCTCAATTCCTCATCTGTTTAAGGTGGCAATATCAGTACTAAGGTCATAGGATACTGTGAGGATTACGTGAGTTAATATATGAAAGGTGCTAACAGCAGTGCGTGGCACAAAATAAACACAATGTAAATGTTGCCTATCATCATTATTATTGTTGTTATACACTAATAAACTCTTGTTTAAGCCACTGTTAATTTGGATCGCTGTTATTTGCAGCCAAACCTAATTCTAAAATCATCCCAAATGACAACCAATCCCTAACTACCATCCCAAAATGTACCTTAAAAATAAGTTAATTATCAAAGCTTCCCACTTCCACCTTTTGGTCTTGAAGAGGAAAATTTGTCTGTAATGTGTGGAGATCTTCTAGAAAGCAGAAAATCTGACTAGCAACAGGAGCCATTGATAAAGATGCTACTCACAGTGACTATCAGTTCCAAATCTTCAGCTGTTCAGGGAGCAAAGAGACCAACAGACAGATGCTGAACCCTATTTTGGGCCCTTAAGTTAGGGGCCGTTATTTCCCTACGTTCTACCCTAAAACCTGGTCTGTTCATTGGCCCTTTGCTTTCATAGACAGTGAAATGGTTCACCAGCATTTCAGAGAGTAGGAGGGAGGGTTTAGTTCTATTTTTCTGCCTGCTGGGAGGAAGAAATTCACACATTCAGTTAAAAACTGTTAGCTAAGGCACCAGCAAAGAGCAGCAGAGGAAGCGGAGACCAAATGCCCTCTGAAGGGCTTCATTCGGCACAAACAATCTGTTCAGAAGGATCATTAGATGCCCCACTTGAGGAAATTCAACACATAATTGAAGCTGGAACAGAAAACCAGGCCAGCAGCACAGCCTCCAATGAGGGCCGAGTCTTTAGTTGTCATTACAGAGCATGTGGCAGCCAGAACTCAGGCGGGAGGCAATGGGATTTTAAGGGATATTTTATGGCTCTTTTAAGAGGCAAAGCATCCAACAAGAGGACAACCAAAGCTTTTTATAAAAATTAATTCATTTAAAGCACAATTAAAAAAAAAAACAAAAAATCAAATTGCCCACTCTGGGCTTGACAAGAACATGCTCATTTATTAGCTGATAAAATGTACTTGAGTGGCGGGTCCTGTCTGAAACCTCTGAGTTGTGGTCCTGAATCAGCTTAATATGTGCCTCAAAAACTCACCAACAGCTTTGGCAAGACTGGCTTTGCTTAAACAGATGAGAGTAACTTGTCCATTCACTGCTCTAAGAGTTTCCCAGGAACCATCTGTGACCCCAGGGCAATTTCTAGGTTTTATGGTCTGTTTGGTCAGAGGGATTCAGCCTGAATGGCAGGAAGGAGAAGATTCAAGGCATCAGACTACGGACAGTGTTTCTATTTTCCAAAGTCTCCAGCTTACCTGATTCATGTCTTAAATAAATCTTTTTGGCCATATGTCTGAAGAACTTCATAAAACGGGATTTAAACATTTCATCCAGAAAAACATAGTTTTAAGAAAAGCATTAAGAAATTCATTTGATCACCTGTGTATAATAATGTTTAAGCGGCTCAAAGTCCTATATAAACACATCGTTGGGTGTTATTTATCTGGCGTTTTCAGGCAAGTACTTAGTGGGAGCAGCCTAGGCAATACCACC